TAGGATAATTGAACAATGCACAAAAGCGAAAATAGGGACAAAGATATTGCAGGTAGTCAATTGCAAGCTTGCAGTCATCTATGTCTATATTATTCATGCATGTCTTATGCATATAAGAAGCAATAGTAGATTTACTTTTGTAACCATTCTTTCTTGCCACCAATCCCAATGCTATAACTTGGTAAGGGTACATTTTATGGACAAAGTATCTAACCATTTCTTTTAAAGAGTGCATTTCTTTTTTGCTATAGGATGTCTCATTTCTTTTTAGCTTTGACTTCAATTTAGGCAGAACTCCACCACCAGTACAACAATATTGCTCACTTGTGGTTTGTTTTCCCATTATGACATGTTTATCCCTTAGTGAGGTCTCACCCTTCAAATGTTGCCATGCTTTACCCAGTCTTCTTTGCATTTTATTGGAATTTTCTGTATTCACATGAGGTAGTATTGCTGGAGTGAGGGGGTTTTCTTTGATTATTTTCTTTTTAGTTACCTTGCTATCTGATTTGCATTTTTTAGCACATGGTAGTTTGTTGTAATCCTCCATTGAATATATTTTATGACACCTCTTCAGATGTGGTAACAATAACAGTGTTTTTTGACATAGTTTACAAGTCTCCTTCTTTCGGTATTTCATATGATTTGGTGTACCAGTCATTGTAGGTGGCAAAGGTAAATATCTGTGCATTTTTGCTGATAAAGTTGGGTGAATTCTTTTTAGATGTACATCTAGTCGTTTGAGATAACTCCCATATTTTTGGCAACTCTTTACTTTGCAAATTCCTCCTTTAGCCTGCAAAACACATTATAGAACAATTAAATGTAGATGAAAATTTATATCCATTTTGCATGCAATTATAGGCAAAAACTACAAATATAACACTAGATAATGGTGGTCATAAATATGAACTAAAAGGTTTGCAGAATGTATTATACGAAAGGCTATATCTAAAGCTCAATTTAAAAGATATATGAAAGCTCAATAATAAGCTAATTAAATGTTTCATTATCCATGCAATTACTCAGGGATTTCATTCAGTTTACTGAATAATGTGGGCAACAGGGCAAGACAACATTGCTCATTCCTGCTCACATCAATTGATTCAATACTGCAAGACCCTAGTCATTATTATAGATGTGTAACTAGATATTCAAATCTGTGTGTGAAGCTACTTCACACAACTTCTAATTGAAGGCAAAGAAGCCATAGTCCCCATAGATGTTGCTTCAATATAATATATAATTTATAGAACTCTCCTTTAGGGATATATCTTTTAATTCCCTGTGAATTCAATATTAAAGCAAAATTGACATTGTCCAATGAGGACAGAGCAATATTCAATATATATGCAAAGAACTGTGCATATTTAATAAATAAGATATACGGCAATACAGAAACAACGACATCTTTATCTTATAGCTGTCTTTATAACAATCAATTTATAATTTGAAAAACTCACCATCTAAAAAATAAATAAAGTTTCACAGAGAAACAAATCAGGTATTACAAAACGACGAAGTTCACTTGGATTAATTTAGGCCGGCCAAGCAGTACCAAAATTAGAACTTCCAATTTCAGTGATAAAAATATTATATTTCCTTACATTTCCTTAAACTCAATATATAATAGAGCCTTTCGATAATTACGTCACAACATTACCGTTTTAAATGGATTTAAAGTTTTAGATGGATTTAAAGTTTTACTCTCACAAGCTACGTGGAAAGATGCAAAACATCCTTCTTCAAAACATGCATGAAAAATATTTTTAATTTTGACCAATAAATGTGGAAATAAGTCGTAACATTAAAACGAGACTACCAGGCAACGACCAGCAGCCTCGTTCTTGTGTTACGGTTTATTTTCACACTTGTTTGCCAAAAAGAAGAATTGTTTTTCATGCATGTCTTGAAGAAGGATGTTTTGCATCTTTCGACATAGCTTGTGAGAGAGTAAAACTTGAAATACATCTCATTTAAGTTGGTTCTAAATTTAAAACGGTAATGTTGGATTGGTTAAACGGTAATGTTGGGATGTAATTATCGAAAGGGTCTATTGGTTTCCCCCTTTTAACGTTAAGGCGGAAAAAATAAAGGCCTGACATTCAGGTTAGTTAACTAAGGGAAAAAACATTGGTTTTAATACACCCTAGTTTTACAACAGTTAAGCACCCTGTTACCGAAAGATAACACAAAAACGCACAAAACAGTAAATTAAGAACAAAAACGTGACAAATATGCGAATTTGTCAACATTGGTGTTACTGCATCATTGTTTTACAGCAGTTAGGGCACCCTGTTGCCACAATAAGACACAAAAACGCACAAAACAAACACATTAACAACAAAAACGTGTTAAATATGTGAATTTGTCGACATTGGTGTTACTACATCATAGTTTTACAGCACTTAGGCACCCTGTTACCAGAAGATGGTACAAATACGCACAAAACAGTAAATTGGGAACAAAAACGTCACAAATATGCGAATTTGTCAACATTGGTGTTACTACACCATAGTTTTACAGCACTTAGGCACCCTGTTACCAGATGATGGTACAAATACGCACAAAACAGTAAATTAGGAACAAAAACGTGACAAATATGCGAATTTGTCAACATTGGTGTTATTACACCATAGTTTTACAGCAGTTAAGCACCCTGTTACCAGAAGATGGTACAAATACGCACAAAACAGTAAATTGGGAACAAAAACGTCACAAATATGCGAATTTGTCAACATTGGTGTTACTACACCATAGTTTTACAGCACTTAGGCACCCTGTTACCACAAGATGACACAAACGCACAAAACAGTAAATTAGAACAAAAACGTGACAAATATGCGAATTTGTCAACAGTGGTGTTACTACACCATAGTTTTACAGCAGTTAAGCACCCTGTTACCACAAGATGACACAGAAACGCACAAAACAGTAAATTGGGAACAAAAACGTCACAAATATGCGAATTTGTCAACATTGGTGTTACTACACCATAGTTTTACAGCAGTTAAGCACCCTGTTACCACAAATGGTACAAATACGCACAAAACAGTAAATTAGGAACAAAAACGTGACAAATGTGCGATTTGTCGACATTGGTGTTACTACACCTAGTTTTACAGCAGTTAAGCACCCTGTTACCACAAGATGACACAAAACGCACAAAACAGTAAATTGGGAACAAAAACGTCACAAATATGCGAATTTGTCAACATTGGTGTTACTACACCATAGTTTTACAGCTTAAGCACCCTGTTACCAAATGGTACAAATACGCACAAAACAGTAAATTAGGAACAAAAACGTGACAAATATGCGATTTGTCAACATTGGTGTTACTACACCTAGTTTTACAGCAGTTAAGCACCCTGTTACCACAAGATGACACAAAACGCACAAAACAGTAAATTGGGAACAAAAACGTGTCACAAATATGCGAATTTGTCAACATTGGTGTTTACACCATAGTTTTACAGCAGTTAGGCACCCTGTTACCAAGATGTACAAAACGCACAAAACAGTAAATTAGGAACAAAAACGTAAATATGCGAATTTGTCAACATTGGTGTTACTACACCATAGTTTTACAGCACTTAGGCACCCTGTTACCAGAAGATGGTACAAATACGCACAAAACAGTAAATTGGGAACAAAAACGTCAATATGCGAATTTGTCAACATTGGTGTTACTACACCATAGTTTTACAGTTAAGCACCCTGTTACCAGAAGATGGTACAAAACGCACAAAACAGTAAATTGAACAAAAACGTGACAAATATGCGAATTTGTCAACAGTGGTGTTACTACACCATAGTTTTACAGCAGTTAAGCACCCTGTTACCACAAGATGACACAGAAACGCACAAAACAGTAAATTAAGAACAAAAACGTGACAAATATGCGAATTTGTCGACATTAGTGTTAATACACCCAAGTTTTACAGCAGTTACACACATTTAACACACAATGGCAAAAAACGCACAAAACATCAAATTAACAACAAAAACGTGTTAAATATGCGAATTTGTCAACATTGGTGTTACTGCATCATTGTTTTACAGCAGTTAGGGCACCCTGTTGCCACAATAAGACACAAAAACGCACAAAACAAACACATTAACAACAAAAACGTGTTAAATATGTGAATTTGTCGACATTGGTGTTACTACATCATAGTTTTACAGCACTTAGGCACCCTGTTACCAGAAGATGGTACAAATACGCACAAAACAGTAAATTGGGAACAAAAACGTCACAAATATGCGAATTTGTCAACATTGGTGTTACTACACCATAGTTTTACAGCAGTTAAGCACCCTGTTACCACAAGATGGTACAAATACGCACAAAACAGTAAATTAGGAACAAAAACGTGACAAATATGCGATTTGTCGACATTAGTGTTAATACACCCAAGTTTTACAGCAGTTACACACACTTTTAACACACAATGGCAAAAAACGCACAAACAATCAAATTAACAACAAAAACGTGTTAAATATGCGAATTTGTCAACATTGGTGTTACTGCATCATTGTTTTACAGCAGTTAGGGCACCCTGTTGCCACAATAAGACACAAAAACGCACAAAACAAACACATTAACAACAAAAACGTGTTAAATATGTGAATTTGTCGACATTGGTGTTACTACATCATAGTTTTACAGCACTTAGGCACCCTGTTACCAGAAGATGGTACAAATACGCACAAAACAGTAAATTAAGAACAAAAACGTGACAAATATGCGAATTTGTCAACAGTGGTGTTACTACACCATAGTTTTACAGCAGTTAAGCACCCTGTTACCACAAAATGGTACAAATACGCACAAAACAGTAAATTAGGAACAAAAACGTGACAAATGTGCGATTTTGTCGACATTGGTGTTACTACACCCTAGTTTTACAGCAGTTAAGCACCCTGTTACCACAAGATGACACAAAAACGCACAAACAGCCAAATTAGTATACTTTCATATACCTTTAGTTAGCAATATATATAGAACTTGACATAAGTAAATCCTCATATCTGTTTATAATTTCCACGGCCAAAAAATTGTTGCCTTGACAAAGATATTATATTTTAATAAGTCAAAATATAATATACGACTTCAAAAGGGTATTGTTCCAGGACGCCCTTAACTTTACGAAACAAAGTTGATTTTGTACAGAATTCAGAAGTTGTGTTTAAATAATATAACGACTTTTTAGGATTTAAAGCGAAGAAAATAACTTTACGAATTATAACATTTTACAACAAGCACGAATAATTAGGGACGTATCGACCATCTTAGGTGTCAAACTCCCATTCGGAATAGATACTCTCATTGTCGTTATCAGTGTCACTGTCGGTTTCACTATCCATATCAAAATTTGTATCTCTTTCCAGCTCATCCTCCACATCTTCATAGGATTGCTTAGTATTGTCATTGTGCGACTCAATTATGTCCTGGAATCCAGACAATTGTAAACCGAGAACTGGCAAGAAAGATTGGATTCCAAGCCTTAATTGTTGCATGGCAAAGTTAATTCCTTCGTTAACCAAGGCAAGCTTTCCTCTGACAATGGTCCTTTTGACTGAGCTTGTAGAATAGGTTTTTGCCTAAAATAAAAAGATTTCAATATACGTTACATAAAAGCAATCGCATAGCTTACAGATGTGGCTTACAGAAATGTCGAAAAGGAAATTGCGGACCTAAATAACTTTTAAATTATCGCATCTTCGCATTAGATACACACAATTAACACCCAATAGACCTTCCAAGAGCTTACATAATGGCCAAACAATAAAAAATGTGCGTCCATGAGAAGGTATGTACGGCGTAGGTTTTTAGCTTTTTGATACACCATGCATGTAATGCAGTATAATTCCAACCATAACATTTTGCTCGTATACAAGAAACTTCGTGCTTCGTGAAGATGGTTACAATATGGTAGCTGAAATGTTCACTGCATGATTCAGGATATGGGCTATCCACAAATATGCATAAATTGTACTTCATCACCCTTTAAACCTACAAAGTAATTACCGCCGAAAAACATACCACACACACAGCACTTTCCACCGCAAGAACAGGCTGTTCACCACCACATTGGCTGCGACTTTTACCTATATGTTCGAAAATTAAAAATAATTTTAAGCCTGGTTTTCAGATGTCAAGGGCCACCGACACAATAACCATCGTCAAAGAATTACGTTATATGAAAACCAGCCTTTACACCTGCAATAAAAATTTGGATCTGTTGCATTTAGCCGAATAGACTGCAGTTCAGTCAAGGTTATATTGCTTATGTTCTTTGACGCGCAGCTCACAGAGTTTAAAAACATAATTTACATTTTTCCAATAAGGACAAAAGCTTTTTGCAATCGATCGCTGAAAACATACTCTATATTTCACAATTCTAAAAGTGACCGGGAAAATTACCTTGCAGCAGGTTTTCCAATTTTGCAAGTTCGCTATAAAGTGCCGGAAGGCATTTCTTGGTGTAATATTCAAGGTATTGGAACATTTCCTTTTTAGTAACTTCGATTTCCTCCTGAAACCGTTGAATTTCCATCAACTTATCCACCACAGATCGTCTCGTTACCAAAGGCACTATTGTATGAAAGGCACAATATATTCATATATAATGTACTACGCGTCCGGCAATTTATAATTATGTACGTACAAGTTCTATTTGCAAGCCTGGCTCAGTCTGTATACGAGAAACAGTAGCTACTCACACTCATCAACTGGCTCGTTCCGAGAATTCCATGGAAACTTTCCATTTAAAATTTCTTCTATGTTGCTTAGCGGTTCGTCTGCAATTCGATTATAATTTGAAATCAAAGAATGGATACTCTCTTTCTCTTTGCTGATCTTTCTCCTTAACTTATTTCGTTGCTTCGAAGAATCTTGAAGAAAATAATATTTGGTTAAAATGTTACCTTCCCTTTATCCCGCATGTGGAGGCTAATTTTCCGCGGTTTCGTTTTTTATGGGTGTTTTACTCGCACGGAAACGTTGGCTTTAAATGTTACTACTGAAATAAAGGAAGAGACACTGAAAATGTAGCTATTAAATGTAGAACCACCTGCAAGTTTTGCAATGTTAAATGCCAGATGAGAGATCGCGTTATGATGGAATTCCATATTGTATCTCAAAATATTCCAAAGATTTATTTTTAAAAACACCTTCACCAAAGGAATAATTGCGACAGATCTTGGGCTGAAACTGTTTAGATTTTTCCTTATAAATCTTTTCAGCAACGTCAAACAAGGCCTTCTCTTTTGGCGTTAACACATCTAATGTGAGCAAATGACATATGTATTTCATTTCCTCCGGAGTTATGGAATATCTTTTATTTCTCGATTTTTCATCCACTGACATAAATTTGAAAGAGAAAAAAGAAACACGTCGTCATTGCACGAAAAAATTACACCAAGACATCGCATTCTGAGAAGAGCATACCTAACGTTTTTAGTTTTATTATTTATAATAATAGATTCGCCACAGTATCATGTACTGCATGTAAACTGAACAAAACTACACAAAATTCTATACGTACGTTTAGCAGCGTCAAATATATCTTCTTTCCATTTCTGTAATGTTGTTGGATCACACTCAAGTTTCTCTGACATGCTTTCTAATTCTTTCTGCATGATGGCGGTTTTATCTTTAGCCTAGAACCATGCATATAAAAGTACAGAACACATTATTATTTTTCCAAGAGAAGATTATACATTTCAGTACTCCCCTTTCCGTGCATGGGAAATTTGCATTGCATCTACATATTTTTCAATCCTCCACGCTTTAAATTTCTACCCACACCTTTTTTTTTAATAAATTTGTTTCTGTCTTTTTTTTGACGAAAACTACCGAAACGGATTTGGCAAAGTATTTGTAGCTATGTTATGTGACAAGGGGGGATTTCGTTTTAAACTATTCGGCATATTTGCTTACACTTTTTAGGCTAAGCCAATCAGAATGCCTAAATTTTTAATACATCATGTAAAATGATGATTATTCTGATTGGGTTACTGAAAATGTAAACAAACTTACTGATTGGTCTAAAACGAAATTTCCCTTGTTATGGTTTCCCTTGTTATGGTATAGTTACTATTACTATTAGGTAAAAATAGAAAAATTAATAACTTTTGTATATCTTTTCGCAAGAATACTTGACAGTTTGGTTATTTTTCTTTTATTCCACTCCAGTGCATGTTCAGTCAGCAATTCCTCTCGTCCTATGTATGCATACATCAGAATTAAACGTTTAACTGGTTTGATAATTTTATTGCACATGCTTACCTTCAGGTAACATATGCTTGGTAGTGCACCCTAACCGCGAGAAATGACTGTTAATCTGTTCTACTTCCTCTCCTGTTGTTGCAGAAGCGCCATCTTGCCATCGCCCTCCCCAAATAACCTGCAAAAAAGATTACACAATGGACACTGCACTTGACTGCACACTTGCCACGTACGAAATATAATAAGCACAAGGAAATTTACCTGGCAATACCAAGCATGTGCTTTGGCATGCATTACGGAAAGAGCAGGTTTCATCTTTTGAGATGTGGTTACATCATTTTTACACAGCCAAGGCCAATACTTGCAGATGACATCATACCAGAAGAATTGTGTTGTACGACGAAGGTAATATTCCTTTTGCATATAATGTGCATAGCCATACACTTCTCCGTGCTTCATGCTAACTGCATGCTGGGCAACACTGTGACGACAGCCAGCAATTTCTAGCCCAGTTTCATCAACAATTTTCTTTTTCTTCAAAGTATTTCCAGCAGCATGCCAAATAGAATCGCCACACTTAGAATCATCTGTGACCTAGGGTAAAGTATAGCCGAATTGAAACAGCTCGATTTTAGATTATTTTTATACGTACAGTAGATCCACTTGGTATAAAAATAATCTAAATATTTGTTACAAATCATAGCATTACGGTCAGAAACTTCCCACACCAAATGTCACACATTGATATTTAATGGGACTATTGTTCTATAATTGTTTTGAGGTAAACGAAAATTCGTATTGTTTGAGAAGACAAATTGTAACAATACCTTTTCCTTTCCTTTTTTGTAAATTTTACAGAGATGATGTTGAACTTTTTCATTTGAAGCAATAAAGCATCTCCATAGTAGCAATCTCTTTTCCTGCTAAATAATTTCAATTTATCCTCTTTAAAACATACATATGATGAAATAACTTTGAAACTCTTTCTAGGTGATATACAAGACGCATTTCAGTTGTATATGAGCTGACGATTTCCCTCCAAGCTAGTGCATTCCTGCAATGCATCGTCTGTGATTCAGTGTACAAAATGTACTTACATCCCAGCAGATTTGTACCGATAAAGTTTCATGTTACCATCCATGTGAACGGAGTGTTGCTGCTGTTCACATGCAGGGCACTCCATCCAGTTAATATGCCGTAGTTTGTTCAATTCATATTGGCAATATTTCCATTCACGAAAAGAGCTACCAAATGTTTTGCTGTTAATTGTTCCCATCTATATAAAAGATAGAGAAAGATACATCAAACTAATATCTGTACAACTATTTAACTACTGAGGCAATTAGCAAACATAATCATAAAAGAACAGGATTCCATTTTTTGCATGAAGCGATACATTGAAGTTGATACTTAGAAGTTGGTTTAAACGTACCCGCCCTTTTTGTATCGAAAACATTTCTAGTGATTTCACAAAACTATTTTGAGAAATTCCAGGAACAATCTTCTGTAAATTATCCCAGAAATGAAAGAGATCTTGGTGAAATACATATGTCATGTCACGAATAGTTCCAGGCCAAAACCCCAGCTGTATTAAAACATGGGGACTTGTTGATGAATAACATTGTCACATTGTTTACATTCATATTTTGTGTGACTAATGTCGAATCTACCTGAAGATATAATAATAAATATTTAACCAATTAGCACAAAAATATAAGTTTTGAGTTCCATGATAGAGATCAACATTTGGCCTATAAAGCCTATCTGAATAGCATCATCTGGTTTGAATCTTGCAGGAGCTAGGTTCAGCCTACATAATGTATCATTTATAGCTACAGTATAAAACTATAGAATCTATTTCAGAAAGACAATGTTTTTGTGAATAAAAAAGACAACTAAAATAGCATACCTTTCAATGTTACAGCAATGCAACCCATACCCTTCTCATCATATAAAATATTGCAAGGAAATAGGCATGTGGGACAAATAACATCACCAAATGGAAGGGACCGTTCTAAAAAATACATAGACAATTCATATATTTTCAGAAACTGTTTGAAGAACCCTCTAAAAATGGCAGAACTTTCCTACCAAGGGAAAACATTATCTCACACCTAGAGTTTCACAAAGATGCTGAGATAATACAAAGATAATACTGACTGGTCAATTTTTTTTACAAATTTCATGTGACAAATATGTTTCTGTGTTTCTTTATTTGAAAAAGACCTAATAAAATTTTTTATGAGAAAATTTGCCAATGAATATTTACTCATGTAAAATGAACTTTAGGTTTGACATAAATGCTAAATAGATCATGCTAAATTTCATATTTAAAGAGCATCTTGAGAGTATCACGGTCACAATGCACCTTTTGACACAAGGTATAAGTTACATCTTTTTAGCCATGCTATAATATTTACCAACAGTAATCCATTCCAGTTTGCTGTTAATTGAGGCTGTTGGAGGAATAGGTTCATGAAAACCATTCAAAATTGCATCTCGATCATGAAATGGATGGTTCTTATGGTTCTCCTCATCACAATCCCCACAGACATATCTATGTGAAATGCAGTCTTGACATCCAATAACTGCCATGGCATCTTTACAGCTTTCGCATAACAATTCATCAAAAATGCCAATGGAAAATTTAGTTTGCAGCAAAACTTCGATTAAACTACTTCTGACTTCCTCCCAGCTTTCATAAAGGGAATTTTGTCTTTCATGCCAGGTTCGTTTCTTTTGCTGACCACCACATTTCCAGTTACATAATAATCCTTTTGCTTCTTCAAGGATATCATTCATTGTCACATCTAAACAAAATCGATGATACTGCTTTAAAAATGAGCTGCTAGGTAGAATGCCACAAAATCATTGTACACCATATTACACCATTAAGTTTAATATACATTCGATAAACCAAGTTTTGTAAAGTAGCAGGGTCTTTAAATTCCAATATATAAATGCATAAACAGTATCCATATTGGAAAGTTTGCAATATGTGTGAATGATGAGTCACAATCTTCCCTGCACACAGCCAATCTAGCAATGTGGCAGCATGTGTATAATGTCTAGTCAGTAGTCACAGAGGACACAAAGCTATACGAACGTTGTTTAGATAATAAATATTGACTTTTAGCACATCATATTTTACAATAGCGGTTCAAAATGTCAACAAAGCGGATTAAAAACTTCACAGCATTTTTAGCTGTTGTAATTGTACATATTTATATTAGATCCATACCCTCTACAGCGTTTGTCGTTACATCCATATCTGATTCACGATCCAATAAACTTACTTCTGGTGGTTCTTGTTCTACGTAAAAAGTGACAAAATAATAAATCATCCGAATGATGGGACCTATCTGGCGTAGGTTCTGTGTAAAATGTTACAAACAGAAGCATACCTTGGAAAATATTATCGCTGTGTTCCTCTAAGTTTTTTGATCTTGAACTAGAGGCGGTATCATCGCGATTATAATACTTTGGATTGTAAGTATTTTTGCAACTCCGTTGGCCAGTTTTTGGATCCGTGCTATACTCATAATGAATAGGCTTTCTTCTCTTTTTTCGCTTTTCTAAAATATCATTACCTTGCCTAATAAGACAATCCATGGAAGGGAGTTTCTTCTTGCGAGCATTGGCAGCCCTTTCAAAATTCTCCGCCATTGTGAAAGATTTGAGTTGGTTTTGACCCAGTTTCTTTCCGTTTCATAATGCTCGGCCACGCGTCGCGAAATTATTGTTTTAGTAATTTCGGATGTGTTTAAGAATTTATTGATATAATAAATTTAGAAGTGGAGCTCATGTTGGATTTTAAGCGAACAGCTTGTCTTTTCAAGTAATCTCTATGATAACTTGTTTAATTTCGCTTGTAAGCTAGGGTTTACATTGATTTCCCTTTTTGCACGCCTGTGTTTAATTAACGCGTGTTTATCCGAAATAGTGAGAAATTTTATCCTAAAATACCTCCATAACCCATTATTTAACGCGTTTACATTGCATTTTTTGTATTCTCTGGTAAACACAACTTCGGGTATCTCTTTAGTCTTGATGCTTTCAGTCGTTTAGTTCCAATTGAGTACACAGAATATACGTGCAATGTCGTTTAGCTTCGATCTAGTATACACAGAATCAGAGGCGTAACTAAACCGATAATTGGGGGGGGGGGGATAAATATTCAATTATTAAGTCCAGCCACGCTGATTTCTATTGTAAGCAAAATATGTTTTTATTAATTGCACAAAAAAGTACGACGTTTATATAACCCAAATTCCGAATAAACAAGACATCTTGAGAGTCAAAATATGAATAAAGCAAGTCACAGGTTGAAACTGTAAATTTTCGACTTTAAACTTTCAGGCTGAAGATGACTTTAATTTGAAATAAGGTCGAAAAGTTTCAAACTGCATCTGTCTTGCTCAATTCATATTTTGAATTTCGAGATGTCTTGTTTATTCGGAATTTTGCTTTTACTGCATGTACTTTTTGAAATTGTCGGCTGGTCATGGTTTTTATATAACCCGGTTCTAATATATAAATTATATAGGTGAGCGATCGTCGGCGATGCTAATTGTCGAGAAAATAAGGAGAGTCCTAAAAATCCCAATTTTCACACACAAAGGGTATTTTTACTTATATAATATTATGTTTATCTTTACTGATATTTCACTGCACGTTACCTGTCCTTAGAGACTGCGGTAGCAGTGACACTATTTTGTTTTGTGAATTGTGGCGTTTAATTGAAGCAATAATATAATTTAAGTGACATTTGGAGCCACTGAACTGTATAACATGGAAGGCTAACTTAAAGGAATTACGCAATCCAAAAGTGAAGCCAAAAATGGCGGTCATGAAGCCTTCTTGGGCGTCATTCTCAGTTTCCCAAACGCGCGGTCAATCGTCAAACTTTATCATTATTACATTGCAAACGGCGAGGCGTGTCGTTTTCATTGATTTAATTAAAAACAAGAAGGAATACGATTTCAACTTCGTTTTTTGCTTATAAATCTGCTAATTACATTTTGCAAAAGGCAAGTATATGTTCATTTAATATATTATACATGAATATTTTATTTCAAGTCAACGACTCAACATGTTCGACTGTTCGATTATAAATATTTAAAATATTGTATTAACGATTTTTGCATAAATCTTTACAATTTATAAATAATGCTGAAAATTTTTATTATCAAGGATGTCATTCTTATTCAAATATTTAGTTTATTTACATGATTATGTTATAATTTAAATTTATTTACACTATTTACATATTTCAAGTTCTCAATCATTCATTGGTTTTGGAACAAAATGAGTTTGTTCATTTGATGCCTCTGACTTGGAAGTCCCTTCTTCACAATAATTTCATTTACACTAACGCCTAATATATTTTTGCTTGGGAACAGTACGTAGAAAAGATTGAAGAAAGTAGCAGGCCTTTGCATTTTAAATTTCCCGCGCCTTAGTTGACCGCGCGAAAAAAACGCGTTTGGGAGACTGAGAATGACGCCCAAGAAAGCTTTATAAGCCGCCATTTTTGGCTTCACTTATAGATACTGGAGGTAACCTTCCATGTTATACAGTTCAGTGTTTGGAGCTCGAACCTACACAAAATAAGTAACTCCATATTTCTTATGTATCGCTGCAAGATGTTAATTTGGAGCCAACAAATTTTCCCAAATCCTGGTGTGAAATTTATGAGCTTTTGTTGCGATTATTGGTAAGGGTGTTAAAATTCTGAACTTCATACGTATGTTAAGCCCTGATTCCACGAGCGAAATTTTTAAGCGCAATGCGAAATATTTCGCTTGCTTCTTTTGAATTGTGAGCAATCAAGCGGAAGTAATGTGTTCAAGTGGTCACAATTCAAAAGAAACTGGCGAAATATTTCGCATTTCGCCAAGAAAAAGCGCCCGTGGAATCAGGCCCTTACGCAAGGCTTTATTGTGTTTAGATATATGCATGCATATAAAAATAGCTGTAAAAATAGGCATATCAATTGCATGACTGGGATTAATGATTGAGTTTTGCCACAAGACATATAATTTTCGGCCATTCGCAATCATTAATCGCTTTTCCCTTTCATGAATGACATATTGTGGGGTTAAATAAGTAATAAGGTGAAAATACTTATCACCCTCTCAGAACTAATACCTGGATAAACAGTCTTAAGTCGTCATTTATCTTAATTGTCGCATTTTTTTAAAAAATGTGCGTGCTGTAGGCAATGCAAGCTCTTATATGTCAATAAATTGTGTTTAATTGAAATGTGGCGCGGTCAAGCATGTAATAGAGTACGTCATCAAAAGTTCAATTCAGTAAAATAAGAGTGAAAATAGTTTAAGTTGAAAGATGTTGTTCACAGAGGTATTAATATATTTGTAAATTATGTTACGTTATGTTACGTTGATGATAAATAATTGATGACAGATATAAGTTGTGAACATTCTTAAGTATTGATCGATTGAGCAGAAGACAATATTAGAGCAGACACCTACTAAATCGCGTAGAAAATAAAAAACATTTTTTAACACGTAATTCACGGGTATAACGTAATACCCACAGGCTCCTGGGAATAGCTCAAACTAAAACCCTGGGGCCGGTTGTTCGAAAGATGGATAACTTATCCAACGGATAAGTCCTATTCAACGGATAAATCTGCTATCCAGTGGATAGTTATCCATTGGATAAAAACGCGTTGCACGAAGCGTGGATAGTGAAGTGGATAGCTATCCAATAGATAAGTTAAAATTTACCGGAAGAAAACAGGATTATCCTGAAATTTCGTACCACAGCGTCAGCTGTTGCTAAGCATTTACAACATTGAATTCATAATCATTACGAATTCTCGAGTATAACTACTGAATGGAAAAGACTTAAACAAGTGATTTGCTCGAACTTTGCACTTCACATAATAGTGATTTTATCAATTAAGCACATTGCAATTTTATTCCTTGACCTTGCAACGCTTTGCCTTTCGGTTCCATAGCAAATTTAGGAACACTAATTTTAATGTTCGTGAATGAAATTACTTAGATATTAGCAAGTTTCCTTGGAATAGGTTGAATCTTTCTTTGCATATTCGCGTTTATAAACTGATTAGAAGCGTATAGTAAATTTACCGCCTGTTATAAATGCGAGGATCTCCAAAAAATCGCCGCTCGGAACGGAATGTGTACGCAACGTGAAACGCTGCTGCGACAAATTGCCGGCTTCGAAAACATTTTTAATAGTGAATACAATCATGATGTGTATTCGTTTGTTGAAACACAGTAACAGGAATATGACATTTTTGTCCTATTTTATGTAAATGTTTACAGTGTTACCTTGTATGTTTGAATTTATCCACTGGATAGTGGATTTAAACCACCTCCGGACCTTGGATAACTTTATCCGGTAGATAGCGATTTTTATCCGCTGGATAAAATTATCCAAGCTTCGTGCAACGCAAATCACACGCTGGATAAAACTTATCCGTTGGATAGCGAGTTATCCGTTGGATAGAGACTTATCCACCTTTCGAACAACCGGCCCCTGGTAAATAAGTTGAATGACGTATATTTGTGCCATTAGACAAATTTTTAACATTCACCTTAAGATCCCTTACCACATTGCCACATTGCAATTATGTTTCATGAAATTTATTACAGATTTCGTCTATAATAAATACAACACCAGACGGATTGCCAAATAAGTCCCCAAAGGCCAAATGAACTTTCAACTGAAGGATTTTGAATTGAACTTACTCCGGTTATAACGTACACTATAAAAAATGGAAGTATTCCAGGTCTCCTCTATAAAGTCGTATTTTTTTATTATATCCGAGGGTTTTTTCATGACAAAAGTTCGCATTGAGAAGGACAGGCCATGTTAACGTTTGGGGACTATGCAGCTTCTATGTATATGTCCCATCCTATATGAGGAGTTTAACATCCAGTCATACGTCAAGGGCAATATAATAAGTTTGGAGAAAAGACGGACGTGGACAGGTGGACTACGGAATGTATTGAATTGAATATTATTGCGAAGTCGTTCAACTAATCTGAACTCTGAAAAAATTTAGAAGCTTGTCAACATTGTTTTCAATCACTAGCCATAGCATGCCTTAATCAATTTTGGAGTAAAATTGAACCAGCAGTCCTAACAAAACTGGTTCACTCTATGCCAGAAAAAGACAAGCTGTTTTGAAACGTAGAAGAGGCCGGTCACATAAAAATATTATTAGAACAGCGCCAATTTTTGTTAAATCCTATATCGTGACTCGTGATTACATTTGCACATGCAGTGCTGTCGTTCTATCAATACGACATCATATTCACTATGACTGTTGACCCCCCACTGTACGTAGGTGCAAAAAAGCAGCCCTTGACCATTTGACCTTACGCACTCATATAGGATGCACTGCACACACATGGGAAGTAAAATTTTGGCTAACTTATAGGGCTTCTGCACGAAACTAGTTAGTACAGCTTTAGTGCAAGTACCAAAATTCAAATTGTAATAACATGGTCGCCTCGGTCAATAGTGACGTTATAAATGACGTATTTAACGTCCCTCATCAATATATTTATGAGGGACGTTCACATGCAACTGAACCATTAGTAATAAACATAAACTGAAACAACGAATTCAATTACACACAACTTAATTTCAATTGCTTTATTCTTTGTTCGCTGAATCAATTCAATAAACAGAATTCACAAATAAAAAGCTTCATTTAATTCCTTATTCCCTCGCTCATCATCTTATTACAAAATAAACACATAGCTTTGAACGTCATTAGCGGGTTATAAATATTCTAATCACTGAACCATTTCGATTAGGAGATCTCGCTAAACAAAAGCATCTAATCCATTGTTTCTTCCTTCGGGGACCATGTTATTACAAACTAAATTAAACGCATGCATGCATGCTTTCAGGGGTATTAGTGATCAAATGTACACTTAAACCTCGGGAGGTTTGCGGACATTCAAGTAAGGCCTGTTTCAAACGTCGCATTTTGCATGTGTCGAATACAATTGTTTAAATTATCTGCATGCGAGATACGACGTCCAGCTGAAACAATTGAATTCGCTGTCTTTAATTGCGGTTGACCGTGATGCTAAATTCGACTGTTTCGGTCGCATTATGCGAGCTGGGTGCGACGTGGTTTCATAGGTCGCATTTTGCATGTGTCGAATTCAATTCGCTTGATGAAAAAGACCAAGAACGTCATGCTAAAATAATTTGCATTTGAATTGCATATTTGATTACACCGGAAAGGTTGGCGATAAATGGCGAAAACTGCCGAGTGTGACGTCCATCAGTTGTGTGACGTAGTGCTGAGTGTGACGTCATGGTCCAAGACAAGCATTTAAGCAAGCAATCAAGCAATCAAGCAAGCCTCTGACATAGTGGCTACCGCTCACGCGGTACACAATAAACCAGAACAATCGTATTGTATTCTGTGCTCATGAAAGTTGACAAAATACATTTGCCTACCGGTCTGTTTGTAATCGTTGCACAGAACATAACGAAGAATCTGAAGGCTGGCTTGCTGGAAGCGGCTAGGAAGCAGTTGGATATTGAATAAAGTGCAATCGTATGCTTGTCGTATCTTAAGTCACAAGTTCATATTTGTGAAAATCGTTTTGGCCCTTAAACTTTCACGCTGAGTTATAATTTCATGTGTGATGTTGTTGGCGTGTCTTCAATAACACATCATTTTACGCGTTCATGAATGCATTCACTGAGGATTTTAGCTGTTGATCCCGATGGAGAATTTCGATACAAATAGATGATGCAAAACTATAAGTACTTACAAACTTTCAAGATTTTGATTTTAGAAGAAACTCTGCGATTTCCATGTTATATATAATTATATTGCGAGAGTGTAATATGTTTTTGAGGGCGAGGAGACCAAATTTCTGAACTGTGGTTATTTTTTGCGATTTAAGCAGCGAAAATACATAGGAAAGGCCAGGAAATAACCACTTGTTTATTTATTAATTGATGTCGTTTTTCGATTAAAGATGTTAGATGTTCACTAGCATGAAGAAGAAGGAAGTTGAATGAAACTCTGAACGCCAATAAGATGGTTACGAATCAGGGGCGGCGCCAGCCGCCCACGCGTGGGGGGGACTTTTCGACCGCCGAAGGCGGGAGAAAACTAGGGGGGTCCGGGGGCATGCTCCCCCGGAAAATTTTGAAATCTAGAGTCTCTTAAATGCGTTTTCCTGCGATTTGGGAAGTCTTTTTTTCTGAAAACCTATGCCACTTAAGCCTAAAAATAAGATGACCAGCTTTCTACAAAGAGTCAAGAATGAGTTAAAACTTTCACAAAACTTTTAAAACTGTATTGAATTCACGTTATATGTAAGTAAATAAGATATGATCTACATAAACAATTTAAAGAACAGAGTTTAAGTGCATAGTCGTATCCATGTCTACAGTGGAAGCTTTCGAGGCTTTGCGAGCTTAAATATTTCCACTAATTTGCTGAGTTCTATATTTGCTGCCACATCTCGTTCACAGCTTATCTGGACTAGATCCTCAAGTCTCTCAGGTGACATGGCAGCTCGCAAATAATTGTTTATAATTTTACTTTGCTATGTGTGCGCTCACATGATGCCACTGTTACTGGCAAGGTAGCCACGATCGTAATGACTTCGAACAAGTCGGGATAAAGATGGTGTAGGTCATCATTGCTGAAAACATCGAGCAATGAGGGCAAACAGACCCAAGGTGTAACTGGAGAATTTTCATTGAGGCCTTTCTCTTTTCTTTCCTTTACTTGGTTCTTGTGTTTTTTGTATGCATTCTTCCAATCATCACACTGCTTCGATTTGAAAATAGTAGGAATTGTTGACCAACACGATGACTGCTACGCTTATAGAACTGAGCTATCTTCTCAACTTTAGGGACATTTTCTTCAGTTAGGTTTCGTGGATGGAAGGTTGAAGAAAGACTAATCATTTCACACGCTGTTTCAGAAAAGCGTTTGTTCAGCTCACTTTGTATCTTGTCCAAGAAAGGAAAATACAGTTCTCTTCTAAAACAATCTAACGCTGATTCGCCATCTGGTCGGTTGTTTTGCAGAGTAGACATATCTAAAATGGATTGGCCATCAGCAAGGTGGGTGGGGAGTCTTCGGCGGCGTTTGGTTTGCGAGGCTGTTGGACTTACATCACTAAAACTAACATCAAGGACTTCGCTGCCCCATCTTTCGGCAAATGAATTGGCTTCTTTTATAAACAAGTCGAACTGTTCATCAGTGCGAAAAGATGCAATCGTTGCTTTCAGATCCTGAATAGCAGTAACTCCTGATGTTAGATCCATTCTTCTCTCTGCAAATATTCTGAGGCATGTGTGCTAAAGAGAAAAGCACTTCACTAAGATTTGGCATGCAGCTACAAATCGAAAGGGGATTAAACGCACAAGTAATCCGGTTGCAACGCTGTCGTTGTTCTGCTCTGACTCTTCCTTGAACATAGATAAAAGTGCTGGATATACATTCATCACAACTTCCAAGTTATCAGTGCGCGCAGTCCATCTGGTATCAGAAAATGAGTGCAGAGCAGTCTTGCCTGAGGTAATGCCGTTCGCTTTCAAATGGTTTTCATATCTTTTGTGACTCTTAGGCGACCCTTCCATATAGCGATAAATGTCTCCGATTGTCGTAATGATTTCTTTGACTAAAGGAATCGTTTCTACGCTTTGTTCAAGAACAAGATTAAGCTTATGGGCAAAGCAATGAAAATAGATTGAAAACTCAGCTCCAGCTTCCGTCAAATGCCGTTGCACTCCCTCGTCCTTGCCGGACATATTTGCAGCACCGTCAAAGCCTTTACCAATGAGATCTATTAATGAAAGTCTGAGGTCTTTCATAATGTCTACGATCACCTCAGCTAAAGAACGCCCCTTTAAGCTGGACACCCTCACAAGCCTGATACACCTCTCAGTTATCTTAAAATCCGTTACATATCGCAATATAACGGACATGAAGGCCTTTTTGTGAGAGGTAACCTCGTCACACTGGATGGAGAAATATTTTGCCGATCGGACTTCATTACAGACGACTTCAGTAATGAGGTTGCTAAGAATACTGATCATCTCATTTTGACTCACATGGGAAAAATACGAGACATTTTCGGGATGCGTATCCATCCATTTCCTCAAGGGGGCGTGGTACTTGGAAAGAAATTGAAGCTCTTCAAGGAAATTGCCTTTGTTTTTTGAATCATACGACTCGTCATGACCACGGAAGGACATATTCTGTTTAGCCAAATGTCGAACAACGTCGAAAATCGTTTCAACGATTTCTCGGTTTTCTTTTCTCTCCTGCTCCTTTCTTTCTCTTACTGTTTCCGCTTCCCTGTTCAATTGCACGTCGATTGGCGTTGCTGATTTGAATGAATGAATGCGCTCTGTTGAAAGCGTATGCATCCGCGAGTTAGCATGTTTGCTTAGCTTTCCCTTTTCTCCGGTAGCATTCTTCCAATTTCTGAAGCCAGTCTTTGTGAACGCATCATCCGAACTGCCGACTGTAAGAATTGGTTATATCATGTATCATGCTTAAATAAGTATCGTGCTTAAGTATTCGCAGTTGCGTGATTCGGGTACTTGCGTGATTCACGTATAGCATAATTGAAAGGATCACACTATATACTGTATTAATACTGTATACATATATCAACATAATAATCTTTTTTTTAATATCACAAATATATATAAATATGTATATATAAGTATATTCTTACCAAGTTGGCCAAAACATCTACAAGAAAAACAAAACGCGGCGTCTTTAGCGACCGAATATTCTAGCCAAGAATATTCTTCGTACCATTTCTTCTGAAACTTAAAGTTTCTTCCCCCTATTGGCGATGGTGGAAAGTCTATGGCGGGTCTCACCGGTCCAGACTCAAGAATAAAGGCTCTATTTGCCTCACACACGTTTTCATTCGATGGATCTCTCCCTTCAAACATATTTATTCTCTATAATATTATACTTTCGTAACTTGTTCACTTGCGTGCCGACGAGCTAATAAGCATATGTTGCGCTAGCCAAGGAAACCTACATAAATCAACACTTTTGGGAGAACAATTTCCGACACGCTTAATTGCAAAACAACTTATTAAATTTGGATAATATACGATTCAATCAATCATTGCTTTATCTTGTGCAAGAAAACGCCTGAAGTAGTTCTAAAGTTCAAGAGGTCGTTAAGGTATATAATTAAAAATACCACAACCTTTTGTCTTTTGTTTCGTATAAAATATTGCTAATATATAAATAAAACCACAACATTGCCCCCCCCCCATATTTCTCATCGGTTATGAACGAATTGGAAAATTGATTTGGAGGTGGACTGGGGGGGACATGTCCCCCCCAGTCCTCCCCGTGGCGCCGCCTCTGTTACGAATATAACACATGCGACCATGATTTATTTCGATTACCCAAAATTAAAATTGGCCGCGTGGGAGAATAAGTCTTGCGCGATAAAAGAACTGACCGAATTTAAGATGCCCGCTTTAGCTCGAGTAAAATGAAATGTGATGAGGTGTTTTAAATCACTTTGTACTTACACTCATTTTATTTGATATTGTGAATATACAATTACTATACATAATTATATTATCATCAAACGATGAAATTAATGTCGTATAACAACTGCCTAAAATATACAAAGCACTTCTTGACGTTTCGACCTGAGGGCCTTCGTCAAGAGAGTTAGTATGAAAATAAATATGGGTGAACACATGTTTTGTATGGGGGCAAAACGCGTGATAAAAATGGGCCAATAGAAAACAAAAAATCAAAACAAATTGGAATGCATTACATTGCCAAAGCGACGCCTGATTGTGGGCTAAGAATAGCCTGCAATGAGGGAAGCCTGATCAGCAACGAAAATGTATTACAACCAGCTTTGTTTTGTCAATCAATTACAATCAATTTGTTTTTATTTTTTGTTTTCTATTGGCCCATTTTTATCACGTGTTTTGCCCTCATACAAAATATTCTCCCCTATTTATTTTCATACTAACTCTCCTGAAGAAGGCCCTCAGGTCGAAAAGTGTTTTATCAATTTTTGTCAGTTATACCACACTTGATGCTAAATTGCTTGAACACGCTGCCACGCTGCTCCCTGGTTATATTGGAACTTATATTATCATCAGGTAAAAGTATTTTTGATTATATTAAATCAAAAACTGCGTATAACCATATCAGTCACAACAGAAAAGATATCCTCTAAAACCCCAGCTTTGTGTACCTCTTCCCCAGGACGGTTCATAACCCAACTGAGAGTGAAGAATGCATGGTTTGTGCGGCGAGTTACCTAAAAAACAGGAGGAGTTTTATGAATGGAACAAACAGCTCGTGGGAATTGTTCGTTTAACAATGTCGACCTGGGTGACGCATAGGATAGCTGTAGCGCTTGATAAACGATAGCAAAGGATAAGCAGAAAAAAGTCGAGATAAAATAGATAAATATTTGTTACAGAACTTTTTCCACAAAAGAGTATATACCCGCAAATTAGCAAAAGAATATACAATTGCAATATTTACCCAATTGTAACCATTCGTTGTCACTATCTTTGACAGGCACCCAGTGATCTCCTTGTATAGTTCCACCACTGGGAGTTTTACCGTCTTTACATATATCTTTAGAGTTACAGAGTTGATTGCCATAGGACGTGCATATTGAAACTGCTTGTTGATATGAAGTTGTAGGTGGAACATTCTTTATTGAAATCCCAGTATCTGAAATTAAATCATAATTATAGAGAACAATACAATAGAACGATGGAATAATAGAATAAGCCTATGGGCCCATTTGTTTGTTCGGGGTAAAACCCTAATTAAGAAAACTTTTTGTTTAATTCTGACCCTCTTTATATATTTTTTTTGAGAAAAAATATTCAGGATCGAATACGGAGATATTTAAGTTTGCATCCCTTGCAATTTTAAACAGAATAAATCGTGATTTTTTTTTGTATAAGACCACCTAAAAAGTGCAAATTTGAATTTTGAAGAAACAAAAGCTTTTAAAGTCGATCAAAAATAAATGGCTGGCTTTGCATGAAAATCATCTGTTTCGGCATGGTTTAATGCATGCCTGATTCATGCATTTCAAGTAATATGTTTGATTATCACAAAATAGTACCTGAATTCCTCTTTGTTTCTTCTTCCTTTCTCTTTGTCTATAGCAAATTTATTACAAATTAATGGCTGTAGTAGGAAAAAGGATTTCTCACACTTATTTTTAGCTCCTTTTTCCCGAAATCAATTGCTCCATTATTTTGATAACGAAAAAAACTGCAAACTCGATAAGTCCGTTCTAGCTTATACACAGACCAATGCATGGACGTACGTTGAAACATCACATGAAATAAATACCATGCATCGTTGCCAACTATTTCTGTGGTATGCCTATCATGCTATGACAGCCGCTCCATCATTGATGCATCCGTTATCGAACAGCATCGTATTTTATTTAATTGGAACGACGCGGGGACACTATTGAAACAAGGTTTATACACAAGATTGTCAGGTTTTGGGTAATTCAAAATAACTTTTAATATACGGATGCAACACTGTTTAGTAATTAAAATCCATTTGATGAACTTTTAAAAATCTCATTTTTGAAGCACCTTGTAGAAAAAAATCCATAAACAACAAGTATAATCGTGATATCGAGTTGTTTTATGTCAGTGAATGTCCAATTTTCATTAAGGCCGGCGCACACGAAAGCTATGTGCTTAGGAAAATGTCATAGTTCATGGCAAATGTCAAAAAGTCATTGGCGTAAGCTAAAGTTGCTCTCGTGTGCGCGTAACTTTGCAGCGACTTTTAAAGACAAATATCTAGCATGTTTTATATTTTTTCCCTCGCGTGGCAAAATGCTTAGTTGATTTTCCCGTGCGCGCGGCTTTAAAAGAAACCGCTCTCGTCTTTTTATCACAGCCCATGATCCTCGTTCTATGAATTTTAATTTTCCAATAACCAAAAGTGCGTTTGATGAGTTTTTTCCCGCATTCCCTCTTTTGTGGCTTCTTTGCTTTCGTGTGTCAGTTGCTTTCAAACATGTAATTTTTTCAGTGTACTTTTTCTCTCTTCTTGGTAAAAGACCGCTTGCAAAACAGACAAACTTTTGATTCAGTTGACATTTCCGAAATGAACATACTAAATTTAATTGCCAAGTTTGGCTGCGAATCGAAGATTATTGTAAAGTACACAACATATGGCCAAACAAAGTTGGCAAATACTCATTTAGATGCCTTGCGAACCTAAAATCTAAACGTTGTTCGATCGCGACATCTGAAAGAACATCGTACTTTAAAAGTATAGAGGTTCAACTGTTCAAAAATGTAAATAAACCGCATAATACGTTAACTTTGTCTTGCACTTTGGTATCCGCGCTTATATTAAATCTTCAATCCTGTGTCAACGCGCCCATATGCACGACCACATCTTGTTAAACGGCGAAATAGCAGCGATATTATTAAAATAGGACCAGAATCAGTGTATTAAACATGTATTAAATTTATTCTTAACCCGATTAAATCTAAATTTAATCGAACAGCGTCAAAATAACGGTTTATTTCTTCCTCTTGGACGAATTTCCGTGTCATGCGAGCGAAATCAAATCGCGCATCGGAAAATTAGCCAAAGATTTCGAGCTGTGCACCACAACTCTTAGGAGACAAATAAAACTGTGACGTAGATAAATACGGTCACATACACTTTTCAAATACTAGTATATTTCGCTTCAAAACACACTTGTGACGACGAAAAAATAATTTTAAAAAAATAAAAAAACAAAACAAAACGTAGGTGAATTTTCACGCGCTGACGCCGGAATAATTAATTACACATAATAATGTAATTATTCCGCCAGTAAAGCAAAAGTATATAAAAATTGCCTACTTCGTATGGCTATATTTTCCGTACTACTTGATATTTTGCAGCCAAACTTGGCAATTATACTAATTTCAGTATGCTCTATTTTATTTATTTAATTCCTTCTTATTACTGACCTAGATCACAAGTTGGTCTGGTATGCAAGTGGACCATTATTAGCCAAATCGGTTTTTCGAAGCCTGGGGTAATTATTATCAAATGAATTTCCGTGTATATGAAATAAACAGTTCACAACAATTCAGAGCTGATATAAAGTCATTTCTATAATTATTCGCACTCGAGCTTTGATATTTTAATGCTTGTTTACACGTGCAATATTAATTTTGGCAATTTGCTACGATCTTCTTCTTTTGATAGATGTAAACGAGTGAATTAATCACGACTGTTCAAATAGGAACTCGTACACATCTGATCATTCGTAACTTTATGCTCGTTTACTTTCAAAGCAAAAAATTGCTCATAAAATTGCGTGCAGCAAATATCGCAAGTGTAAATGGGCCTTTTAAAGATTAATACAGTTTGCTTGTATTGTTTGTTCATTAAATTGCGTCGCTATAACAACTGCAGGAACCCGTTTTTACTTTTGAACACAGAATTCCCTTCAGTTTAGAGTTCCAACATCCTAGGAATTTAAGAAAAATGCAGTCTTATAAATTTCCTATAACCTACCGCTTCAATATCATACATCAAAATCCAATCTCCTTTCAATTCCTTACTGATATTGGTTACATTGGTCAGTTGACAATTTTCAATTTCTTTTGTTGTTCTGTAATTGAATCCAACACACTGAGCTTCGTCTTTGCAGTAAGTATAACATTCTAACACGACAACTGGAGTGGTGATGTGGTGTCTTGATATTATCTCATGTGGGAACAGTGATGGACCACCTAAAATTCAAAATTTCAACAATGAATAAAAAATTTAACAAATTCTCTCCCTGAATAATGGGCAGTCTAATAAGACACCAACCCGATGTAACGATGTAATCTTTCTGTCCACATTGGTTTCCAAAAATGGTTGCAAATGGCAAGCAAAAGTAGAGACATGCGTTAACGATTTTGGGCATGACCGACATTGTCAAAGCTATTACGTAACTGCTGGTGGTCAAGCTAGCTTTTGCTGCTAACAAGTCTGTTAAAATCATTTGACACCTGTATAGTGGGAGTTTGGCACTAAGAGAACAAAAGGAATCAGAGGGAAAACGAGCCGTTAGGGCACCTTTTCCACGTTATTTCGAGTTCTCCGAGACGCTAATAAGTCATTTCTAAAACTGCGTAGACACAGCAAAATGTTTTTTTCTATTTCTTTTATACTATAACCCATGAAATAAAAGGATTTTAAACAAATTTGGAAATCGATTAACTTAAAAACTCTCATAATACTATAATTTTTGCGGGCAGCCGCTGCGCATGCGCGGCATTGAGATAGGGGGAAGGGGGGATCAACATTGAGAACTTATGGTGGCACATATTATATTGCATGGGATTGTAGCTTTCCCTATTCCGAGAAGGGATTAAAAAAAGTTTCAAGTACTGTGGCGCGAAACTTTGGAAGCAAAATTAACAGAACCAGAATACGTTTAAACGAATTATTAATTAAATAGGGTCACACGAATATAATAAGTAAAAATTTAGTGTACATATTTTCTACTAACTTTGTATCTTCTCTTTTCTTTCATGTTATCGTCTGTAAATAGTTATTTTTTACTTTCTTTTTGCATGTATATCAACGCCCCTCGTGGAAACCAGCAAATGTTGATGAGGCTAGCGTCGATCAAGTTTTAAATAAAGGTTACATACATGCATACATATACCTATAGATAACAAGGCAGCTGAGAGACTCAAGAAGCCGAACAGGACTATTCCTTGAACTAAGAGATTGCTCATCTTTTCATAAAATTATCTAAAATAAGGTCATAATATATACAAAAGGATCAATTTTTCCATTTCACTTGTTACAATTTAATGCATTAAAACCAGAATATCAACTAAGCAAAAAGTAACACTTAAGAAATTGTTTATCATAAAATTTTCCAAATGAGCTTCTCCACTAGACACGGTTCGATCTCTACATACCTGACGTGTCTTCTCCAAGCGTGAGAGTATGGTTACTGGGCTATGGCTACTATATTTGTAAGATTAGAGGGAAATTATATAGACGTGGTAGCCTTCTATTAGGATTGCGTTGACAGACGTGTGTCCAGTGCGTTCAATCTGTGGTGAGTGAAGCAAGCGCATTTCTGCGATATAATAACGTATAGTATGTATAGTATATATAGTATGTCACAGGATGTTTGTTGATCTTTGCTCTTGAGGATATCAAACTCAAAACAACAAGTTATTCTTATCTGAAAATAATCCCTATAGCGTGTGCTAGACTCAATCGTCAACCAATATATCCGTAAATGGCTTGAAATACCTATTTCTGGAACATTGAGTAATGTGCATTTAACAACCAACAAATTTGGTCTCAACATCATTCCACCATCAACAAAATTTATACAGTGTCAAACAACGATTCGAGCAGCATTAAAAGCATCATGTAATGAATCAATAAAGCACCTCTGGAAAATGACGAATAACCACACTAACATACAATATGACCAGTACAGCTCAACAAAGGAAGTAATCAAATCATTTCATGAAAATCATGAACACAAACTACGAACTCAATTAATCTGTCAAGGATCATTCTTCTCCAGTATCTCGAAATTCTCTTTATCACAAGTGAACACGATTTGGCCAACCTGTCAATCCAAGCTACCGAGAAACATTTTTAACTTCACAATTCGTTATATAAACAATTCACTACCGACCCGAAATAACCTGAAGAAATGGGGAATCTCTTCATCTTCTGAATGTTCGTTTTGCCTTCATCGTGAAACGTTGTTACATGTTATTGCTGGCTGCAACTCTTATTTAGACCGATTTACCTGGAGACATGACTCAATTCTCAATTTTATAGCCAATAACCTCCAATCAGAACAAATCCAAGATATTTTCGCCGATCTGCCTTCATTTCTGAATCCTTCCATTATAACTGGTGATAGCTACCGTCCTGACTTACTAATCTTGACTAAGGACAACTGTCTGTATGTATTGGAACTTACCGTTGGTTTTGAAACTAACCTTAGAAATAATATAAAGCGCAAATACTCCAAAATGAAGAATTAATTGTGGAACAAAAGAAAAAATTTCAGTCAGTAAAGTTCATTAATCTCTCCATCAGTGCTCTTGGCGTCTTCGACAAACAATCTGCTGCTTTCATAAAAATGCTAGAATTAATGTACCCAAATCAAAGTCATGTAAAATATATTATTCGAAAAATTATTAATATTGCTATTAGATCGACATACTATATTTTCTGCTGTAGAAACAAAGAATGGTCCAAACCAGATTTGATGAAATTCTAATTTTATATTTAACATACTAAAGAACTATATATATATATATAATATTCTGTAATGTAATTGTGTATTGTAACCATTATCTTATCTCCATATATCAAGTAGCCAATTGTAAATTACCTTTAAAAGAGAGATTTTCAATTGTACGTATAAGAGAAAAAATCAATAAAGTTTTCATTATTATTATTATTATTATTATTATTATTATTATTATTATTATTATTATTATTATTATTATTATTATTATTATTATTATTATTATTATTATTATTATTATTATTATTATTATTATTATTATTATTATTATTATTATTATTATTATTATTCATGGTTTATTGAACACATTGCAATAGCGTGATACAGCTAAATTATTATGTGTTTACATCGTTGTAAAATTTTATACATTTAAAGTCTATCTAAGAATAAAATTACAGTTATTAGTGTATAATAGGGTCCATGCACTAAGAATATTAAAACTATTATAAGTATATATGTATTTATATATAGATCTAAAAATTATTTATATACAGTTATTATTTATATACAGTTATAATACAAATAGTTTGTTAAAAACTATTTTAAAAAATTTGTAATATAAAATATGTAATATAAAAAATAAGTAATAAAAAAATATAAAAAAATAATAAAAAAATAATTAAAAAATATGTAATATAAACTCAACTGAATTGCGTCAGCTTTGAGACTTTGAGGACCACACGGTGTTTACTGAGGCTAATTCTCGACATTCTTTCCCTTTGACGTTTTGATTCTGGAAGTAAATCATTTCACCCTTTGACACGCTGTTTACGAGCAGTTTCATTTTGAAAAGACGCAAAAAAACTGATCGGTTAGCTTTCGCAGTGCCAATTTAGTAGCTATTATTACTTCTATAACAGCAATAATAATTTTTGATTGGCTCTCACTCGTGAATGATTCTGTAAGATACTCCGGGGCTTGCCCGGTTAAAGCTTTAAATGTCATAACTGCTTTCCTCTTTTTTAAGTCGGTCTCAATTGGTACCCAATAAAGTTACGTTTCATAATTTGGGTGGAACGGATATCATATGTACTTAAAGTTATAACACGTGGAGCTCTCCTTTGTAATTTTGAAAGTTTATTATAGTTATCGTACGAGATCCATCATTTCATATTGTTGAACGTCAGTTCAATAATTAAAGTGAAGCCAAACAAATGCATCTTTTCACATGTTTAGTAATGTATGTCTAGGACTGAACAAAAGATCTAGCTCTTTTTAAAACGGCAATGTTTTTTATTTTTCTTACATTGGTCATTATTATGTTTATCACACATTACCTGATCATCTAAAATCATGCCAAGAGTCTTTCCCCTATAGTGGTAACGCTGGATTATTGTCAATTGAGGCAAGACGAGCTCTCGAGCCATAGCCAATTACCATGAACTCGGTTTTTCTCATCATTTAAAATAAGTTTCTGCGATCTCCATGTTATATTATACATAGACTAACTTAGATTTTGATATATTACAGTTGTATTTTACTTTAAAATTTACGGAGATATCAATGTTCAAAATTGGTAGCATATTTCTGGATGTATCTAAATTATGCAAAAAACGCCGTATCAAATGTTAATCAATATTATTTAGACACATCCAGAGATATGCTACCAATTTTGAACATTGATATATCCGTAAATTTTAAAGTAAAATACAACTGTAATATATCAAAATCTAAGTTAGTCTTCCCTCTGTCTAGTGAAAGTTATGTCAGTTTAATAGCTTAGCTGGTTTAGAAGCTATTAATAATCAAACCGGAGTACTTTTTTCTGGGACACCCGTATATATATATATATATATATATAAATTATAATATATTAATATATATATATAATAATAAAGTTGTCTCGGAAGCAATGAAGATCAGACAAAGGATATCAAACAACACTAAATCTAATCATTTTGCACAAACGTTTTCGCTTTATTGAAAGCTCCTCAGGTGCTGAATTCTTTGTAAGAAATGAGTTGTGATATCCTATATTTACATATTTCACTGGTTTGCCACTACGTCACTACACGTGTGGTGTTGGATTACTTAATGGTAATTATTTACATAAATATTTCACACAAACAAAGATATGAAAATATATAACAAAATCTTACATAAACTGCATGGTATTATTATTGACATGAATTTAAATCCGGCTGAAGTATAGTTATAATGTCTCTTTCCTTCGACTCCCTGACTAAGCGGTCTGAATGACTGTCACATTGATAAATCGGCATAATCTGGAAGTTGCCATTGCTACATTTTCTTGATGTGCTCACTTACTGCTAAGTGGCAATATTCTTTATGGTTTATTTGCTGTCTGTGTAGCGTAACTCTGTGACGGAGATTTTCAGTTTGGCCGACATAAAAACTTTTGCATTTTGTGCAGAGTAGAACGTATGTAACGTTCCGCGATTTACAATTCATCTGACATTTTATATTCCACGCTTTGCCGTTCTTCAGTTTGATATCAACTCCGGTCACTATGATTGCACAGGTACCGCATCTTGTTTCTCCGCATTTTGTCACACTGCTGGGAGTTCTCTCGGAAACGAACCGGGCTTGTGTTAGTTGTTTCTTCAAGTTTTTTGGCTGGCGGCGGCTGACAATAAACTTCGTACTTTCCAGAATTGTTTTCATGTTCTCGGAGTTCTCCAGGAATTGCATGTCCTGTTTTATCTTATTGATTACTTGTGGGTTGTTGGGATTATGTGTCAAAACCAGCGGAAGGATCTTTGCGTTGTCATCTCTGTTTTTTGGTGTTCTAAGTTCGGCCATTGGTAGAGATGTTGCTTTCTCTATTCCCTTTGTGATGAGGTTCTTAGGGTAGTTTTGTTGTAACAGGAATTTTTCGAGTTCGCGGAGTCGTTTTGTTTTGATGTGTGGGTCTGACACAATGCAACATATGCGACGAGCCAGGCTGTAAGGCATGTTGTTTTTCGTGTGTTTGGGATGACACGAGTTAAAGTTGAGATATTAGAGAACTTAAGATAGCGACGTTTTGTCAACACGGACGTCAACCGGAAGTAAGTCGGGCGTTTTTGATGGCGTGAGCAGTCCGTGGTGAGAAGTGACTGACGGCAAGTTGATAGGTTTGGCGGCGGTGTTTTTTTTCAAAAACTGGAAAAGGTACACACATTTTTAATCGATAATTTTACTTTAAAAGTATAAATGTACGTTATATTTGTTATTAAAACTGTATCATTTACCACAATTTAGCTTATTTGTATGGCAAGTCAAGGAAAACCCGCAGAAAACAAAGTTCAAATTCAAGGCCAAATGTGAGTACAATGCCAACTGCTGTGGCCCGAAACTTTTTTGGCAGAATTCATAATATTGGATATTCTGGTTTACATGTAGCATATTTATATTCATTTAAAAACACGGATTAAAAGCTGAATAATTGACAAATGGACAGGTAAAAGTAACTTGTTTTTTGGTAAATTACATTAATTACTACACTATTTTCGCCATTTTTGTTTAGAAATTCTCCCATGGAATAGACAAAAAAGCACGACACAATGCTGTTTAGAGAAGTGTTGGTGGTCAACCCTTTCCAGGCAAAGAAAAAGACCGTGCAGCGAGCGACCCTGTGGAAAAACATCGCCACGAATCTCAAAAAGCTGGATGACCCTCCTTTTAAATCAACTCTGACGAAAAGGTCAGTACAAGATCGATGCATCCTCTTTAGTGAAAAGTACAGAAAAAGATTAGCCTACGAAAAAAGGGCTACTGGCATTTCGCCGGAGGTGACGGAGTTGGATACCCTCATTGAGGAGACCATCGAGAAGGAAGAGTCAAACGAGGAACTATAAGGATAACACAAAGTAAGAAACTAGCTAGTTTCATTTGTCAATTAAGTCATTCATAAATATTCATTCAAAACTTAAAACACATAAAATTATGGCACCAGGAACATGACCCAGTACCTTTCAAACAGGAAGGCATATATAAATGCATATTTTGATTAAGCTTGAATATGTTTCAGATGAAGCAGAGAAAAAAAAAGCTGAAGAGGATGGAAAAAATGCCGTTGATATAAGAAAAACAGCAATGGAAAGACTTGGAGAAACGAAAAAGAGAAAGCTAGATGAGGAAGAGTTGGTTGAGACTAAAAGAAAGCGAAGAAGATCAGGATCAGATACAGTAGAGTTTTTAAGGTACCAGAGTCAGTTAAGGGAAAAGGAATTAGAGTTAGAGAGGGAGAAATTGGCAAAGGAGGACCAAAAGCACAGTGATTGGAAGGAGTTGATGGCTCAACAAATGGCCCAACAACAGAAACAAATCACACAGTTTCAAATGATGATGATGCAGCAAAATAATTTAATTGTGCAAATGATGGGTAAAAAATCCTAACATATTGCTGTTGAGTTTTCTGAAACACTTGCACTTGTAATTTTCAGCGTTAAAGGCAGAACTGTTTAAAACTTATTTACTTATTAATAAATAAACAAATTAACTAATCTAATTTGATTATATAACATTGACAATGGCTAATTTCATTTATCATGTAAAAAATCACTATAGTACATGTGTTATAACAATGTTTTTAAACTGTACATTATAAAGTTATACAATTTGGCATGTTCAATCATGCTATGACTTTATTATGAAGAATTCATCAAAAATCCTTAAACATGGTAATTATTATTATTAGTAATAATTAAGAAAAGTATTCTTGAATAGTTGGGGGATTTAAATCAAAAAATGTTGATGTAATGTTGCCATACAGGCATGAAAGGGCATTCTGTATTATTGCAGAAACAAGATACATCTTGCCCACACAACTTAAGCCAAGCTTCAAATTGCTTTTGAAGTCGAGACACTTAAATGACCGCACTACTTCACCAAATGCCCATTCCACTGATACCCGAACAGTGCTCATTGATCGATTGAATTCTTCCATGGCAGGCGTCATCACTGCACCACGAAATGGGGCCTGAAGGTGGACCCGTAAAGGGTATGCAGGGTCTCCGTATATGCACATTGGCTCTCCATCAGCAGAAAAAGCATGATTTTCCAGGTCGTTCAGTAGGCCAGAATCCGCCAACATTCCAGCATCATGTTTTTTACCCTCTATTATAAATTGAAATAAATCAATATAAAAATGCTATTAGTTATAATAATACACATAATAATTGCAAAAAATAATACATACATACCAACTGGGCCAAACATATTAGCAATTATTCCATTTGGCAATGTAACAGACTGGAATTTAATGGCATGAGTCCGTTTATGGCCATTGTACACAAAACGCTGAAGTGCGATGGGTCTGCATATAGGTCTGACCGTGCCATCAACAAACCCGAAGCAATTAGAGAGCGCTGCACCTTTCCGGTAAACCGTATCGGCATAAATCTGGAGATTTTCCGGGTTCATGAGGTTTTCGTTCCATTCGGTTAGTCTGTGTCCATGGCGTTCATATATAAAATCCAAAATCTTGTTTGTTATCATACATAACTCTGGTACCGGCCGGCCAAACAATTGTATCATGTCCGCATACCGACATGGAAAAGCTAAACGCCTTAAAAGTATACATATGGCCTCGAGTTTTCTTGCTACTGTTCCTTGATCGCAATGGAACGTCTCTGGTAAGCCAAGCACATCTGCCAAAACAGGAATATCTGCTTTATCAAATCTAAAATTTGATCGACACTCAGGTTCAAGGATACTTTCCAGATCAAATCTCTCGTACTGCCCGTAGTTGAACTCCGGGTTGTGCAATGTATTTTCTTCCAGCAATACGAATAATTGTTCGGCCGTAATGTGCTTGTGGTAATAACTGACTAACAGCAAGTCACGAGCTTGTTTAAAAGTAGCCATTTTGATAAAAAAAAGACTTAAAACGACAAAAAGTTTGTAAACGACAAATGCAAATGCAAGTTTAAATACATGCTTGCGTGATACGCTTTTGTTTACGTTTTTGTTACAACGCCACAACTTAATGTACAAATTTGTAACAAAAACGCCGTTCTCGATTCAGTCTTTTCTGCGCTGACGTGACGTCCGTGTTGACAAAACGTCGCTATCTTAAGCTCTCTATTGGTTTGTGTCAGTTGCTTTGTAGAAGATGTCCGTATTCAACTTGTCATCTTGCTTGTACACTAACATATCTAGAAATGGCAGCTTGGCGTTGTCAAATTCTACCGTGAAATTGATGCTTTCGTGGAGACTGTTTAACATAGCATGTAGTTTCCTCAGATCTTCCTCTGATTTGTTCCAGATTGTGAAACAATCGTCTAAATATCTCTGGAAAGCGCGTACAAATTCCTCCTTTTGTTCACTACCAAATCGCGTTTCGAATTCTGAGTACAGTTTCTCTTCCAGGTATCCAAGTACGAGGGTCGCATAAGTTGGGGCCATTTTCGTCCCCATCGCTGTTCCCTGAATTTGTTGATATAATTTATTGACGAAGTGGAAAGTGTTCTCTTTCAGGACAATTGTAATCGATTCCATGATGAATTCTTTAGAAAACGATCGGTTGAGAGAATTTCCAAAGTTGTCAATCCAGTATTCGATAGCTGTAAGGCCGAGTTCAATACTCGTATATAGGTTGACAACGTCAAATGATACAAGGAGTGCGTTATCATTGACTGTTTCTGGGAGGTGGCTTAAAAAATCGAGGTCATCGCGGATGAAACTTAGTACATGTTGACACAGGGGCTTCAAAATTATGTCTATCAAATTGCTCAATCGATGTGTGGGTGACGATGGACCAGCAACAATCGGGCGAAGTTTCAGATCTGGTGGCGCTTGTATCTTGATGTACGTGGAGTTTTGTTGTTCTATGGCTTCTTTTACGGCTTGTGATTTGTGGATTTTTGGTAGTCCATAGAAGTTGGAGGTTTTCCAGGCGAAATTCTGCAAGTAATCTTTCTCTTTCCTTGTTGTTTCCTTGTCGAATTTTTTCAAGTGTGTTCCAATTTTTTTGATGATTTTATCATCATAGTTCGTGTCTGTCAGTTCTGCGTAGTGTTCGTTGTCGGCCAGCATTTCTTGTATTTTAGCACGATAAAATGTTTTGTCCATGACCACGGTCGCTCCGCCTTTATCAGCCTCCTTAATGATAATTGTGTCATCGTTTTTCAATTTGTCCAATGCGTCTTGTTCGGCTCTGGATAGGTTGTTTTTCTTCGCCGTTGTGTCGTGTTTATGGTAGTTCGCTGTTGCTTCAATAAACATGTTGAGGTATCTATCTTCTGACTTTGGTGGTACAAAGTTTGATGGAAGACATGTCTTCGAGAGAATTATCGAATGAAGAAATCAATCTATTAGAACGAGGTCTCAAATTCACTCCAACGCCGAAACAGAATCGAAGTGAAGTAAAAACTGACATTCAGGAATTTACCAGAAGAATGCGTCTACTGGAATTTTTTAACAACCAGCGACCAAATGAAGATACTGACAAATCGTTGGTGAAAAACCCATCAAACTTTGTACCACCAAAGTCAGAAGATAGATACCTCAACATGTTTATTGAAGCAACAGCGAACTACCATAAACACGACACAACGGCGAAGAAAAACAACCTATCCAGAGCCGAACAAGACGCATTGGACAAATTGAAAAACGATGACACAATTATCATTAAGGAGGCTGATAAAGGCGGAGCGACCGTGGTCATGGACAAAACATTTTATCGTGCTAAAATACAAGAAATGCTGGCCGACAACGAACACTACGCAGAACTGACAGACACGAACTATGATGATAAAATCATCAAAAAAATTGGAACACACTTGAAAAAATTCGACAAGGAAACAACAAGGAAAGAGAAAGATTACTTGCAGAATTTCGCCTGGAAAACCTCCAACTTCTATGGACTACCAAAAATCCACAAATCACAAGCCGTAAAAGAAGCCATAGAACAACAAAACTCCACGTACATCAAGATACAAGCGCCACCAGATCTGAAACTTCGCCCGATTCGCCCAAATTTCTGAACTGTGGTTATTTTTTGCGATTTAAGCAGCGAAAATACATAGGAAAGGCCAGGAAATAACCGCTTGTTTCTTTATTGTTTGATGTCGTTTTTCGATTAAAGATGTTAGATGTCCACTAGCATGAAGAAGCGGGAAGTTGAATGAAACTCTGAACGCCAATAAGATGGTCACGAATATGTCACATGCAACCATGATTCATTTCGATTGGCCAAAATTAAAATTGGCCGCGTGGGAGAATAAGTCTTGCGCGATAAAAGAACTGACCGAATTTAAGACTCTCGCTTTAGCTGGAGTAAAATGAAACGTGATGAGGTGTTTTAAATCACTTTGTACTTACATTCATTTTATTTGATATTGTGAATATACGGTTACTATCTTTAATTATATTATCATCAGAGCATCAAAATGTGGTATAACAACTGCCTAAAATATACAAAACACTTCTTGACGTTTCAACCTGAGGGCCTTTGTCAAGAGAGTTAGTACGAAAATAAATAGGGGAGAATACATGTTTTGTATATGGGAGCAAAACATGTGATAAAAATGGGCCAATAGAAAACAAAAAATCAAAACAAATTGGAATACATTACATTGCCAAAGAGACGCCTGATTGTGCGCTAAGAATAGCCCGCAATGAAGGAAGCCTGATCAGCTACGAAAATGCATTACAACCAGCTTCGTTTTGTTGTCAATCAATTACAATCAATTTGTTTTGATAATTGGTTTTCTATTGGCCCATTTTTATCATGTGTTTTTCCCCCATACAAAACATGTATTCTCCCCTATTTATTTTCATACTAACTCACCTGACTAAGGCCTATGGTCGAAATGTGCTTTGTCAATTTTTGGCAGTTGTTATACCACATTTGATGCTAAGTTGTTTGAAGACGCTGCCACGCTGCTCCCTGCATGGTTATATTGGAACTTATATTATCATCAGGTAAAAGTATTTTTTATTATATTGAAGTCAAAAACTGCGTATAACCATGTCAGTCACAACAGAAAAGGTATCCTCTAAAACCATGGCTTCGTGTCCTACTTCCCCAAGACGGTTTATGTCCCAGCTGAGAGTGAAGAATGCATGGTTTGTGCGGCGAGTTACCTAAAAAACAGCAGGAGTCTTATGAATGGAATAAACAGCTCGTGGGAATTGTTCGTTCAACAATGTCGATCTGGGTGATGCATAGGCTATAGCGCTTGACAAAAGGATATAAAAAAGTCGAGATAAAATAGATATAAATATTTGTTTAAGGCAGTTATTCATAGTAAGGACCTTTATGGCAAAAATATATTATCGACTCTTTACCAGAAAATTAATCACAAAACTTTTTCCACAAAAGAGTATATACCTGCAAATTAGCAAAAGAATACAATTGCAATATTTACCCAGTTGTAACCATTCGTTGTCACTATCTTTGACAGCCACCCAATGATCTCCTTGAATAGTTCCACCAGTGGGAGTTTTACTGTCTTTACATATATCTTTAGAGTTACAGAGTTGTTTGCCATAGGACGTGCATATTGAAACTGCTTGTTGATATGAAGTTGTAGGTGGAACTTTCTTCATTGAAATTCCAGCATCTAAAATGAAATCATAATTATACTTTGTGCTAAGATACCACAGAAATTTTGTACCGCGCCAGTAACCATGCAGTGTGTGTAAATTTTAAGGTTGTCTTATACCAAAATTTTTTTCGTTTATTTGAAAAATATAAAAATATTTTCATGCCATATTGAAAGCCGAGTTACTCTGCGTGAAAAAAACTCGTAGGAATCTTCCATCACCATAGTTACCAAGACCAGACACACCCAGTGGTGGAAAATAGGCGATTTTTATAAACAGGACAACAAACTATAGGTTTTAACTCTAAAACGATGGATTTGGTTTTATTTAGATCTAAATAATTTTGCCTCGGAGCTGAACTAGAATAAATAAAACTTGTCGAGCATTTAAAGTTTGCAAGCTATAAATACAAAACTTCTATGATCAATCTGAAATAACCATTTTACTTAGACTCAACGGAATACAAAACTTTTAGTTCAGCTCTGTGCCAATTGTCTTTAAAGTCAACCATGAAAATTTTATCAGGCTAGCTGTATTACTATTTTAGTTATCGTGCGCGAAAGTAAGGGGAGTGAGAATTTTAGTTTGCTGAGAAAAATGACGAAAAAATTTAGCATACGTATATTGATAAATTGTAGAGAAAAATACAATGGAAAAATGGAACAATGGAACAATAGAATAAGCCAATGGACCCCTTTTGTTTGCTCGGGGTTAAACCCTAACTAAGAAAACTTTTTGTTTAATTCTCGCTTTCTTTATATGTTTTTTGAGAAAAAATTTTCAGGATCGAATAGGGAGACATTTCAGTTTGGATCCCTTGAAATTTTAAAAACAGAATAAATCGTGATTTTTTTTTGTATAAGACCACCTTAAGAGTGCAAATTTGAATTTTAAAGAAAGAAAACTTTCAAAGTCGATCACAAATAATATTCCTTATGACGTTAAGTATGGCTGGTTTTGCATGAAAATCATCTGTTTCGGCATGGTTTAACGCATGCATTTCTAGTAATATGTTTGATTATCACAAAACAGTACCTGAATTCCTACTTGTTTCTTCCTTTTTCTTTGTCTATAGCAAATTTATTACAAATAGCTGTAGTAGGAAAAAGTTATTTTAGCTCACAGTTATTTTAGCTCCCTTTTCCCTAAATCAATTGCTATAAAGCTTAAAGCTTCTGAACATCAACAATGTTCATACCCAAGTTAGATGACTTGCAAACCTAAAATCTAAACGTTGTTCGATCGCGACATCTGAAAGAACCTCGTACTTTAAAAAGTATAGAGGTTCAATTGTTCAAAAATGTAAATAAACCGCATGATACGTTAACTTTGTCTTGCACTTTGGAATTCGCGCTTATATAGTCTTCAATCCTGCATGTGCAAACTGCGACGTGTCAACGCGCCCATACACGATCACATCTTGTTAAACGGCGAAATAGCAGCGATATTATTAAAATAGGACCAGTGTATTAAACATGTATTAAATTTATTCTTACTACAATTAAATCTGAACTTAATCGAACAGCATCAAAATAACGGTTTATTCAGTTTGCCTCTTGGAAGAATTGCCGCATCATGCGAGCGAAATCAAATCGCGCATCGGACAATTAGCCAAAGATTTCGAGCTGTGCACCACAACTCTTGGGAGACAAAACTTTGACGTAGATAAATACGGTCAAATACATTTTTCAAATACTAGTATATTTTGCGCCAAAACACACTTCCGACGACGAAAAAAAAATTTAAAAAAAATGAAAAGGCGAAACAAAATGTAGGTGAATTTTCAACTCCGTCGCTGACGCCGGAATATATAATTACATATTAATTAATTATTCCGACAGTAAAGCAAAAGTATCATATAAAAATTGCCTACTTCGCATATGGCTATATTTTCCGTACTACTTCACGTTTTGCAGCCAAACTTGGCAATTATATTAATTTCAGTATGCTCTATTTTATTTATTTAATTCCTTCTTATAACCTAGATCACAAGTTGGTCTAGTATGCAAGTGGTCCATTTTTAGCTACATCGGTTTTTCGAAGCCTGGGGTAATTATTAGCTACCAAATGAATTTCCGTGTATATGAAATAAACAGTTCACAACAATACAGAGCTGACATAAAGCCATTTCTATAATTATTCGCATGCACGCGAGCTTTGATATTTTAATGCTTGTTTACACATGCAATTTTAATTTTGGCAATTTGCTACGATTTTCTTTTTTTGATATATGTAAACGAGTGAATTAGTTACGACTGTTCAAATAGAAACTCGTGCACATCTGATCATTCGTAACTTTATGCTTTTTTGCTTCCAAAGCAGAAAATCGCTCATAAAATTGCATTATTTTATGATTAATACACTTTGCTTGTATTGTTTGTTCAATAAATTGCGTCGCTATAACAACTGCAGGGACCTGTTTTTAGTTTTGGACACAGAATTCAGAGTTTCAATATTTAAGAACACAGAGTTTCAATATCACAAACATAAAAATTTTGAAAAAATCCCGTCTTACAAATTTCATATAACCCACCGCTTCAACGTCATACATCAAAATCCAATCTCCTTTCAAATCGCTACTGATATTGAATACATTGGTCAGTTGACAATTCTCAACATCTTTTGTTGTTTTGTAATTGAATCCAACACACTGAGCTTCGTCTTTGCAGTAAGTA